CTATTCTTCTCCAAAACATTAAGATGGCTGGTAATATAAACTGAACAGATGACAAATATCCAAATATCCAGAACAAACTGTTCTGCATTATGGCTAGAAGCACCACAGCAGTAACAACACCTCTAGAAGCATAAAATTGTAATTAAACCTTTTAAAGAGAATGGCAATACTTACAGAACAAGTTATACTCTTACTAGGGACAACTCATTTCACAATAAATCTTTCATTTCTCTCCTAGTTATTTATCTATAATACCCACAGACTTACAACACCATAAACTGTTTACATCAAAAATCTAGCAGCAGCCTCTCTAGGAAGACCACTACAAATCTGAAATACCTAGAACATCTAGCACACCATGATAGCTTTATATTTTCTAGAGGGGACACAGATATCATAGTCCAATAGCTTCATCTTATTAAAACACCGTTTAAAATACACTATTATGTTCCAAACGAACACCACCTTGTCAAATATTGTGCTGATAATCCATTCTGATTCTACTGGATGAATTAAATTCTTGTAAGTAATCTATGAAGTACAACAGCTTCAGAAGAAAACCCAGCTTTCACACTGTTTGTGCAATCAGAGTATTCACTTGAGTAGTTATTTGTGACAAGGTGTCAGTACAGTTGTATTGCACTGCCTATACTTACGTATTTTTATTGAATTAAGAACTGCAAAAACCTTGAACAGGTCTGCCATTAAAATAGTATCTAGCGTACCAGGACTCAACACCAGATCACACATACAGAGATCTAAAATGCAATACTGCTTAACAAAAAATAATGCCATGTTCATGAAATGGGCCATATATTTGGAAAAGTATAAGAGCTAACCAATGATGGTGATGGCTGAGAAGTTCTAGGGATTTTTTTCAATCAAATCTACAGAGAGGAATCATTCTTGAAATCTGGTTGAGATGGACCTTTATTACATTAACCTAAAAAAATACCAACTCTTGTAGAACAATAAGTTTAATAACTTATCCTAGGGTTTTCTTTAAAATAATACATGACAAAATTTAAAAGAAGTGCAGAGAAGGAAGAACAGAAGACACACAATTTGGATGGAGAAGCAGCATTTTTAGGAAGAGATGCTGTGATACAAAGTGTAGTAGACGCGAATGTTTGCCTTACTATGAGAAAGCATGTCAAAGTCTAACTCACTAAGCAGGTGGAGTTGTTGATAAATAAATTCAAAAGATATTCATATGACTGTCAACAGAAAGCTGAAGCAAAAACTTAAGATTAGATGGCACAGTTCTAAAGACACATTGGCTGAAATTCTGTTGCTTTGTTACACCTGTAGAAGGCAAATGAGGTGACATTCAATAGCTTCTTGCTGGTTATTAATGAATCCCCACTGATATTCACCTGCACACACCAAGCCACTAGGCACTAGAATCCAAGAATTCTAGTATAAACATGTTAACCCAGCTAGGAGCGACTGAATGTTGTGCTGTTTGGCTTCTGCATATACAACAAACCAACACTGGGAAATATGATAAGGATGCATACTCTAGCCAGTGCTTTTTAATGTGTACTATATGAACAGCTTTAGAAAAGCACTTTTGATTCAAATGACAATATATCAATGGAGAGGTTCTAAAAAGTATACAACAGGAAGATGAAACAGCACTATTAGGGGGTAATTTAATTGGTCTGCAAATTTACACAATAAAGTCAATGAAGGAAGTAAAGAATGTGAGACAAACCAAGTTTATGGTAATTAGTAAAAAGAAAACAGCCCTGAAAATGTAGGTAGAGATCTAAAATGAAAGTGTGAAACATATTGGCAAATATTAAGTATCTTCAAATTTGATTCCAGGAGTAAGGGGATGATGATGGTGGTGATACTTGTGTGCCATCAATTCTGACCACAAGACACTAAAAACCGATTAAAAGCATGACCACTGAAGAAGTACTAAAGCAAGAAATCATATCACACATAAAACGTTAAAAAGCTAAAATATTTCATTTACACAACAAAAAATGTACAGTTTGGGCTGTAATACCTAAAAATAAATGGGAAAGACACTGAAGGAGAAAACCTATTGCCAGAAGAACCTGGGGCTTGAATGCAGCTCAACATCTTTGAAGCTGATATTTCCAAAATTAAAGCAACCATTACAATGTCCTGTCTAAAGAATATTTTTCTCCATTTTATAGTTGTTTTCTACCTACAAGTAGATGCCTATAGATCCTATTGCAGAACTTCCACGCTTAGCTAATCTGAAGAAATGCTTGGTATCCACTGACAACATAGCAAATAACCACTTACAGTTTTAGATGTTGAATGTTTGCTTTCCAAGCTTTTGTTTCATACTAGTTCTAGACTGATATTTAATATATTTTACACTTTATAACTGCCTACATAAGCTGTCTTGTGCGAACTATACCCTAAAATTATATACTAAAATTTCAATACTATAGATCATTTCTATCCCATCACTCAACTACTGTGAATCACACTTTTTTTTATCATGGCACTCCTTGCCCCATATATCTTTTCAATTCTTTCAAACAGATACTTGCCCTGAGCAAATAAAGTGTTCATATCCCTGATCACAACAGGTGCCCCTAAGCCTGTTTTTTAATCTCAAGTATGGCAACTGGAAGTATTGCTGGTTGAAGTACACAACTCAGTCATCCTAAAGCCATACAGTAGAACCTAACTCTACAGAAATGTTTATCATTTTATAAACAAAATCAGCTTTTCCTATATTACCAGAACCAATCTACTCTACTCAGCATTAATCTGGCCTTAAGAAACACTCTTGTGCATGAACCAGCAGTCTAGATAATACCTGCAACCTCCCACATGTGTTCACTGGGTATCCTATGTGCACAACTGTGAACAAGACAAGACAGCTTACTTTTCATCATCTTAGCAGAAAATTTCAGCAATCCATTTGAGAACTGTTGATCAGTACAAATCATCTGTGTCCAAGTACTGAATGCTGATGTAAGGACAACTGGAGCAATGTATTTTCAAAGGCTTTACTCTTTATTCAGTGAAAACAAATTCAAGAATCCTGCTTCTCAAAACAAAACGACATGCCCTTTATTAAAGGCACATGCCTTTCTGAGATACAATACAGGATTTCCCCACCTATTTTTTTTTTTACAAAAACTATGTTCTGAGGACTGTAAAATGAACTGAAAAAATGCAAAAGAACTAGGAGTTAGTGAAAATAATTTCCTTGGTATTTAACTGCGAACATCCCTAGAACCACTGGTTCAGTGGCTGCAGACTATGCCAAAACTTTCTGGGACAGGGACAATAAAAAATATTCACTGAAAACCTGTTGATGCAGCTTTTGAAGGGAATCCAAGAGTCAACATGTAACATGTCATTACCACCACTAACCCATACATTTTTTTTAAAAAAAGAAAGAAATCAACTTGCAACCTACCACTACTTTGTTAGGGGGTAGGAGACGACAATAGAAACGAGGAAAGACTGACCCCAAACACTTTGTTTTGGCCATCTGCCTCCTAATTTTTTTAAGGCAACATCTGACTAACAAATGCACAGGCAACTACATTTTTAGCAAAAGTTAGTAGTCTTGCCACCTTTTGCCTCATTATTATTTAAAAGTAGGTGGCACTGGCTGTTTGTCTCCTTGGTCCATTTTCAGAAATGACAGTGATGCCTCCCTCTCTCTCTCTCTCCACAGATTCTAGCAAAAGAGAAACAAATACACAATGCAAATATACACTACAATACAAAGCACGCTTACTGCAAAAGAATTCCACTCTGTATGGTAAGCATACCCAGATTGCAGGCTTAAAAACACGCACCCTCTCTGTTATTTTTATTTATTTATTTGATTTATATCCCGCCTATCTGGTCGGGTGAGGACCACTCATACAGTCCCAGGAAAAAGTTCCCCTTGACTGAGACCAAGGGGGAGATGCAGGGATATACCCAACATTAGTATTCCATAGGCAGGAACACACAACAGGGTTGTCACTTAACTTGAGGGGAGACGGACCGACCAACCTTACTCTCCCAGCCCAGCTTCCTCCGAAGTAAATCACACCTTGCTCAATGGGACCCCACTCCTTAACACCGCAACCCTCAGGCGCCCTTCCTCGGGAGCAAACGCCAAACTTCAACTCCCCCCGGACCTTGCTTCCCAAGCAAAGGTCCCTCGGGATCGAGACGGCACGATGCACGACCCCCGCCCCCAGACCCGTTCTGCAAGGATTACTCTGCTGGCAGATGTCGCCGCTGTTGTGTTGCTTCAGAGCTTTCTTCCCCTTCCTTCCTTCCTTCCTTCCCACGCGAGAAGAACTCAGTCCCGTCCCCTCGGGGGGGGAAGGGAAGCCCCCGCGGAGAGGGCTTAAAGGCGAGAAGGCGGCGATCCCACGCGCGTTTTACACCTGGGGAGCGTCGCGCTTCCTTGAGAGATAAAAAACCAAGTGAGGGGAAGGGTGAGGGGGGCTTGTTTAGAGATACAGGAACAAGCCTGGACGAGAGCAAAAAAGGAGGTGGGTGGGTGCGTGGGGGATTGTGAGCAAAGACCTTCCCTCAGCCGCCGCCCCCTCCTCCTCCTCTTCTCATCAGCCCTCTTTTACCTCAGAAGCCCACACCCCCGAAGGTAAGGAGGTCGGATCCCCTCCCCTCCTCCACCATCACCACCACCGCCGCCGCCGCCCTCCCCCCCCCCCTCCTCCTCACCC